CCATGCACACCGGTCCATCGGTCGTCGCGAGCCGCCGATTCGGTCGCGTCGCCGAGCGGCTCGGCGATTTGGAGGTCCTCAGAGTGGGAAGTCCTACACGCTTTCGGGGCTCTTTACGTCGCGGCATCTCAGCGGGGGGTATGGAGAGGTGTTCCGCGAGAGAAGCTAAGTGCGTCGGTTTGGCCAGAGACGAACGGTGGCTTGAGATCGAAACCGAGAGGAATGGGTTATGAAAAAATAAATCCCCCAAAAGACAAAGTGACTTCAATTGCACAAGGGCGCAGTGCACTTCGGGCGATGCAGTGCAAGTCCACCGCACCAGAATTTGATGTGTTTGGAGCATGAGGCAAACTCCAAGATGGATCGGTTGAACTTGGCCACCTCATTTGAGAATATTTGAGATACCTGGAGATATGCATGCAGCATGCATTTTTGTCCAACAACTATTAGGATGCAAATCTGGTACCTCAAATCTGCGCAGCACCTTTCTCAAGTAATCTCAAACATATATAGGTTCACAGCTTATCTTAGAAGTCGATTCAACGATCATTCGCTGATGATGACAATGATTGTGATGATGATGATGATGATGATGATGATGATGATGATGATGATGATGATGATGATAATGTTTCTTCACCACACCAGACCAAAACCACAAAAGACCAAAAGATGGAGTGTGAATCAAATCCTTATCGTCTTCCGCCTACCCCCTGCACCTTCCAGGTCCGGGGAGACCCATGGTGTGGCGCCGCGAGCCATTCAGGCCATCACTGAGGCCATTCGGTTCACAACAGACTCGGGCGGTTTCAGTGTGGGGGGGAAGGAGCTTTCGGGGCGAAGTGGGGGTGACGTTTCTCAGGTTTGCTCGCGAACGGGAGGGTGGCATGAAGGGCTTCGCGAAAGTGTCAAGACTTGACAGGAAGCCGTCATTGATGCAGACGTGGAGCGAACCTCAACCCAAATGATGCGGGTATCGCACCAGAGTGACTCCCCCGTCCTATCCATGAAGAGAAAGGATCAACAAGAGCCCAGTGAACCAAGAGGGTCCCCTTATTCCAACACACGCACACACACACACACACTTACTTCGCTATTAGGCCGGAGGCCATCGCTAGTAGGTTGTAGCAGTTCGGTGCGCTTCTCCCAGGAGTTGGAACGCCTGACGACGCCTGTGCCATCCGCCGGGGGCAGTTTTTCATGTTTTGCCCGGTGGGATTTCACAGAGATCAAATCCAACCAGAGGGTGCACTCTGCGGTGACCTACTCGGGCAAAGTGGGCTTGCCAAGCCTGTTTTGAGGTTGTCCTACTCAAAATCTGTTTGCTAGGAACAGAAAGGGTGTCCGAGTGCGAATAGGGAGCAGGGTTTTATTGTTGTAAGGTAGCGCAGTACAGGAACACTTGTACAAGTGGATGGTAGGAATTGTGCGGCCCACAGCGTTTGCAGAAATTACTTGACCTGCTCAAGATCAACTTGTTGGTGGTTGTGGCGGCATTCCCGAGGGGGGGCATTCTGAACGTGTTTCGCACCCCTGAACGCACACCTTTGAGGCTTTGCTTTCACGCCATTCATCCCAAGAGTAAGGAGCGATTCCCACACCTCTCAAGTCCAGGTCTAGGCTCCCTGGGTCCCCAGGGAGGTTTGCTTGGAGGATTACAGAAATTTCATGTGGGGCCTCCACCACAGGCTTTGATTGAGCCGGTGTTTGCTTGGACTGGGTATGCCAGCTTGGGATCGGTCATGGTTTGGGAGGACATTTGAGATTCCTTTAGCAGAGATGGGATATCCCATCATTGTTGTCTCCAACATTGCAAAAGCCTAAAGCTCCACAGAGATGATTATGTGCGAGATGATCGTAGACTCCCTGAGCTGTGTCCACACGGCACCCACTGTGGATGTTATGCGGGAAAAAGCTGGATTACATGACGTTGGAGATGTTAGAGTCTTTTGGAGATAGGGGAACCACATGGAATATCCATGTATGCCTTTCAACCTATGAACATCTATGAACGGTTTTTCAGATGTTCCTTCAGCCTTCAACCTGTCAAATTGTGGTTGGATGTCTTCCTTCAACCTGTCAGCCTTTTCCCTCTGCCCTGCCCCGTTTCGTGGTGTCCGTTCCGTTGGTTCCGAGGTCGACGCATCCTTCTTCGAGCTCCAACAGGTGAGCGACGCGAAGAAACGCACATTGGCGCACGTTGAACCCTAATTCATTCACACATGAATATCCACACCTATAATATATAAGTTTGTTGGGTTTTGAACCCATGTTTGGTGTCGCAAGCGAAGAATGAACTGTTTTTCAACGCGGCTTCCCTTTTTGATTGCGTCGTTTTATAGTACAACTGTGTTCCAATCCCTAGTATTTCGGAGAAATGTCAACGTTTGCGCATGGAGATATGTATGCATCAAAATAAGGGCCACACGTTAATTGTATAGCTTTTGTCCTTTACCATTGGGGTTCAGGAATCCATTGATCTCTTACCCATGCCCCATCCCATTTACAAAAAAAGGAGAGAGACCCCGTGTTTGCGTCGCACGCGTATGTCCTTCAGCATGTTTCCGAAGATGAACAATTTAGGATCATTTAGGAAGGCTTCACATTGCGCAAATTTGGAGCATAACATTGTAACTTGTTGCTGCCTCAAACAGTTGGTTAGCAGCATAAAAGCCAGTTAAACCTGACCTCCGAGCTCATCAGAAGAATGCAACACTCCGGTTGAACACCCTATCAAAACACCAGTTGTTGGCAAAAACCACGAACACCAGCAGCTTGGAAGGCTGTTTGCCTTGGTGTATGGCCGTGGCACGAGAACCAAAGGAAAAAGACAAAACAACTCTGGCTGGAAGATGCTGGATCTTGTTCAAATCCTATAGGACAGTGGTCATTGAAATGTCTTGAAGTATCGTGAATATATCTTTCAGGCAAAACCTGAAACATCGCTGCAGCGAATGCAGGATGCTGTTTGTGATTTGTTGGCCGCTGGTGCCCCTCGGGCCTGGGCCTTAACTGCGGGAAGTCGTCTTCAATGGCCTCAACTGCGGCAAGTGGTCGTCGTGTGGTGAAGATACTGTGTATATATATATACATATACAGATACAGTCAAAACAACTCAGGACTCCGCTTTTTGGGCAAGCAAAGATGTTTGGTGTTCATTTTCAGGGTGAACGGACATATATTTGATGTGGATGAGCACTGAACACGGAAAAGATGTACGACCTTTTCACCCATGGCAAGCCGAGGGTTTACTTGAAATGTGCTTGCCGCAAACATACCAAGTCAGTGCCTTCTTTCCTAGTCAGGCCAAGTTCCGTCCATCCCAGTCTCAATGGCCGCAAGTCACCAGTGGCTCCACACTACTCGTGGTTCACGATCTCACAGCTCGTATCACTATTATCACTATTATTTTTTTAGAGTAAACACATGTATATAATATACATAATATACGCACTAGCATCAAGAGTCTGATGCAGGAACGGCGCCAGTACCACCCCAACTCGGGCACAGTTTGAAACACTTACAGTAATTCTTCAAATGCACACACATGCATACACACACACAACTTTCCCGCATTTGAGAGCTGGGAAAAGGGCTAAAAAAATTACTGTACGCAGCTTACGCTTTCATGTTTTCTGTGAACCTCCTGGACCTGCCGGCTGCAAAGCAAGGTGGCCATGCGGGAGACCACACAGCCGCCCTTCGTGGCGCGGGCCCAAGAGAACCGTCACAGATGGAGAGTTCGTTGGCTGAGCGAGTTCATTGTATGCAGATGTCATCCATTGCAGTAACACTCACGGGGTCATATATCATGTCACAGCGTCAGGATGCGAATGGCGTGCCAACAGAGATGTTGATGTCAGACCATTGCCAACTTTTACCGGCCCATCATTGAAGAATCAATATTGCATTTTCCATGGTTGTTTTGCATCCCGTTCTTAGGATGCGTTCTTCTCAAGTTCTACGGTTTGATATGGTTGCATATAATATTGACCAGTCTCTAGATTGTCCCATTCTTGACCGGGCCTTTGTGTCACTCAGGTGGCAAAATGCATCAACCCGTCTTCCCACCGGGTCTCTCCGACTCGAGGCCTTGGACCAGCACCTCTCTGCGATGAGGCGGGTACGTATCGATGTCGAGCCACTCGTGTGGTTGTGGGGGGTCCAAATCGGTTTGGTCATGTTTGATCATGTTTGATTTGTTAGGTCGTTGACACCTTTGTTGATAGAATAAACGGAGTTAGAAGGCAAACCAACCTTGAGGACAACAAAGCCAGGCAGCTCGGGAATTGCCAACAAAGACGACCCAACCCCTTGCCAACTATCAGAATCACGGAAAGTCATCGATAGTGGATATACCTGGTAGACTTTGCTGGGTGGCCATGTGCTCAGTGCCATGAAACCAGATCCTGGACGTTTCAGGGGACCTACTCCTGTAGCCCTCTCAGATCCCAAAGACTATTGACCTTCAGACCTTTCTTCAAGAAAGCTAGCCTCAGCTAGTTGGAGTCGCTCTTGCTTCGCAGTGGCTAGCTTTCGTTCACCCCCCCTGGCCTCAAATTGTGCTTAGATCGTGACTCGGGAAGACCACCAGCAGCTTGGCTCTCCGTCAACTAGCCGCTCTCCACTCAACCTCTTGAAGTTCCACTGCAAAAATACTTCCTCCTCATCGCTCGTCAATCTGAATTGCAGTACAGCAGTTCGTGAATTAAAGAGTCGACTTGACCATGAAATGACATGAAATGACTGACATGAAATGAGAAACACCCGTTTGTGCATGCATGTCAAAGTCCTGTCACAATGGGGACCCTTCCAACCCCCAGCAACCTGCGACCCAAAAGCGGCGACGATGCAAAGATGTGTCTTTTGATATCTTTTGATCTGGCATTTTTGAATGACGGTTCTTCACCTGCATGGCTGGGTTCAATCTCAATCTTGGAAATCCAATACTGAACAAACAGTCTCAAGCACCTGATGGCACATGTCACACTATTTGGGCCCAAGCATTGGACATCGAACATCGAACTGGCCCGGATGCAACGTCATCCGGTGCCAAACTTCCATGCATGCAGTCTGCTCTCGGACGTCTGGGGACCTCTGGCGCTGTGCGAAGCTCCCCGCGTCTGGACGAAGCAACGGCGCTCGGCTCGGACCCTCCGGGCCGTGGAGGGAACTCGACGCGGACGGCGCGTCGTCGTGGGGAGCTTGACTGGACTCCTCGTCGGAAGAACCGCGGCACGCAGAGCGAGGGCGAGGACTCGGTTGAGCAAGGTGAAGATTCCTTTGCATTGGGAAGCAGGTGAGGGTGTGTGTTGGAAGTGATCCAGCAAGCATGTCCTTGACATATGACCAAACACATGGGCCACATGCAGAACTGGGTGTTCTAGTTGCTGAATGGTTCGAATTGGAGATACACAGACCAAACATGACCAAACTATGTGAGGTGGGATTGCAGCACCGATAAAGCAAGCCGTTTGACACTGCACAGGTGGCTTCTACCTTTACTTCACTTTGAGTGGTGAACGCAAAAGCAAAGAGAATCAGAAAAGGACAGGGTTGCTTCTCCGTGAAACATTGGCCATGCGAAGGATGGTTTCTGGATTTTGTTTCTTCCATTGTGTGATCATCCTCTCGTCTATTGGCAGTTTGGTTTGTATGGTTTTGGAGGTCCCAAAAGGGAACTTGGAATTCCAAGGAATTCCTGTGATTCTAGTGACCCCTGCTGAGGGTAGAGTTCTCAGACCATATCAAATTGTCTGGAGTTGTACTGAGCCTTTCAGCTACAAATCAGTAGAGGAGAGGTTGTCAACAATTCCGATATGTTGTTTACTTGGATTGAAATTCACTGAATTCACTGGGGCACACGACAAGGCCTCCTTTCCCAAGGCCTCGGTCAGTCCACGAAGGCCATGGGCGGTTTCGGAACCCGCTTGCGGACGAGGATCTATGCTGTCGCGGATACAGGCTCCCCCCTTTTGTTTGGTTGCGAGGTGTCTCCGGAAGGATTGCCCCAGCTACTGCGCGGAGGCTGGTGAGAACATGGTGAACCAACTAACCTAATGGCCGTGGTTTCCACCATCCAAGAAAAAAGAATGCTGCATGGCAGCTGAGACTTCGCATGAACTCTCTCGGCAGAAAGTTGGTATACAGTAAAAGTAGTCATTGCATGTCATTGCTTCACCAACCTGCTTTGCCCTCTAGGTGGGTTGCTTTGAGGGGGAAGGCAAGCCAAGTGGCGATCCAGATAGCTGGGAGGGCTATGCGTCTGGAGTGGTGGAGATTCAATGGCGATCAGATGGGCAAGTGAGTTTTCCTGAAGCGGAAGATGCTTGGAGAGGTTGGGCATGCTCAAGGTGTGGGCCCGAAGCCTTTTCTACCATCGCCGATCGCCTTCTACGGTTCAAGGAAGAAAGAACAGTGGCACCACCTGGGATACAGGTCACCACTGGTGTTTTGCTTTTGGTCTTTCGGGGTGGTGATGCATGTCTTGCAATGGGAAGGTCTTGTGCCACTGCATTTTGCATCCCATCATTTTGAGACAAGGTCTTGTGCCACTTGGGGATTCCCCATCCTTGGGGACGTCGCAGGCTAATTCCCATGGCTAGTACATCATACAGGAGAACATCTACAGGCTATAGGCTATTGAGCCCGATTGTGGAAAGCATAGTTATTGTCACCGAATCTAAAGATGTTGCAATCCACGACTCCATTTGCAAGCAGAAGGAACTGTTCTGTTATTTGTTTCATTGCTTTGCACATATGCGTTTGTCCTTTATAGTTGGAGTCCTGTCTTGCCTTGTGATCATCCTCGCATCTACTAGCAGTCTGATCTTGGAGTGTTTGTTTAGATATGATGTCATTTCCAAGATCATTTTAAAAAAGTAAAAACCTATCTGAACTACTGTAGTTTGAGTAGTCTGATCTTGAAGTTCTGATCTTCCCCTGGAGCCATGGCTTGTAGTTTCGCTTCCATACGCTTTGACCGTTTCCATACCGGCGGCGGCGCCGAGGAGTCCTGGTCGATGAAGTCCATCGGCTTCGGGGTGCAGGGCCGCGTCATTGGCTTCGGAGGGACGGGCAAGGCGGTCTTCTTCGGACTCATCCGCGATCACCAAGCTGGCATGAGCCTTGGGCCCGGGTAGGGGTAGGAAGGTACCACCTCAGAATCCTCAGATACCGAAACACGTCCAAACACGTGAGGTGACTCATGCCTCGGACACGTGCCTTCAAGCACATCCCATGTGGGTCTATACTCCGATGCACTCATATTGGTCCTTCAAAGCCGTTGTTTGCCAGGAAACAGTCCTTCCTGGAGCAAACGCCCTTCCGCTTCCTCACCATCGACCTCCGCGTTCCGGGCCGCGAAGTTCTCACGCTGGACACGTTCGGAACCGCGGGAAGCTCGGCGGACGAGCGAGTGCGGCTGGTGGATCCCAGGAGATGGGGCGACCCAGTGAAGTGTCTCGGAGGTGAAGGGTAGGGTTTATAGGGTGTGGTATGTAGGGGGATTAGATGGAATGATATGGAATGTCATTTGTGATTTGGATGGGTAGTTGAAGAGTTGGACATTGGATGATGGGGCTGGATGTGGCATATGCGAACTTAAGGATCTCAAGGGGGAGAAGTGATTGTTACAGGCGAACACTGAAGGAGTCCCGTGTGAACCATGGCGTCAGACTTGCTGCATCGGGTACATTGTTTAATTGCTTATATATAACTTATAACTTAAATCAATTTAATGTCTATACATGTCTATACACTATTGCTCCATGTATATTTTAAGGACACAGTAACAGAACCCAAGTGAACCCTGTTTCCGAGCATGAACTGTCCAACGTCGGGCCAAACGTCCTCTGCAAAGCAGTCACAACATATGAGTTGCCCCTGCTAGCGAGGCATTACTGCGCCTTGGCCACGCTTCGTATTGGGGGTCAGGTGCTTTGTGCAGAAGCAACTCGAAAGGTGCTGGTTCTCGTGGACACAGGAGACGGACCACAAAGACCCCTTCGGGGAGATGAAAGGGATCCAAACGGCGTGCTAGATCTGTTGAACGTGTCAACTGTGGATGAGTTTGCAGATTTCTGTTGGATTTGGATTCGTTGGATTTGTGTGCTGAGTATACCCGAGTTCTCAACGAGCAAACCGTCAATGAGAAATTCGGCCCAGTAGAGTGTGAAGCCGCTCTTTCCTGAAGGATTTTCGGTAGTCCATCTCAGGCCGGAGGGAGGATGACGTGGCCAAAAGGTTTGGGGAAACAGAGGATTTTAATCGACTGTTGCCCTATCAGGAACCACTGGAGCCTCAATGACTGCCCCTTTGTACGATGCCTATCTTCTTCTTGCGCGCGAGAATGCCCAACGGGGCTCTTCGTGGTCAAGTGCCAGGCAGATCGAGGTGGTCTTTGACGATTCTAACGTGTCCTTTCAGATGTGGCCTGGAGTTAATGAGCTACCGTTTGAAGATGCTCCACTCCACAATTTGCGGGATTCACCCCAAGACATACTTACCTGTTTGTTTAGTTGATGTTTTTACACTGGAAAAGAGGAGGTGTTGGGTTGTAGGTGTTTCTCAAAAACACTAAGTATACTGCTGATGGGAACACACCGTCCTCAAGCACATAACCACTTGCGTTTTGGGAATTGGAGCTTGATTTTCTAGTTTGTCTTCGGGGATGTGGTCGCACTTGTCGAAGGGGCTGAACCTGAACCCATCCCCTGGAGCCACAGGGCATAAGCCCAAGATCCTGGTGTCAGTAAGTCGTTTTATCATACTGTGTCAGGTATGTGGGCAAGCATCCTACGTATGGACTTGGGCTCGACCTCGTCACGCCCATCAATGAGATGGCATGGGCACCCACCTCGGTGGCTGACAAGCCTTACGAGGATGTGATGCTGATGGGTTTGGGCTTTTTAGTGGGGACGCGCATTCAAGTGGATACGCAGAGGGATGAATTGATTGTGACACGCGATCAGAAAAATGGGAAAAGGCGCGGGAAATAGGAGCATCCAGGCAACCCTTGTGCTGTAAGATGCCGCAACTCACTCACGGGGTGTTGTGAGGTTGAGCACAAGGACAGTTGCTCGAAAGTTTGTTGGGTACAACGTCTTAGTTGAGACTGCCACTAGGCCATGGCACGGTGCGACAATTGTTGTATTCGCCAAATAAATGAGGACAGGAATCAGAAGTGCCGATTTGTCCGATGTAATTTGCCAGTGCCAGTATCTTCCACATGACGCTCCCGTTGGCTGTAGGTTGTGACATGCTGCTACACATGACCAGGTCTTAAGACGTTTTGAGATGATATAAGATATTGCGAGTCAGTCGGATCAATCTGATGAAGTTATATAGATCGGAGCACCGGAGGTGAGTTTGAGGAAGAATTCAATTGCATCTACAATGTCCCCTACTTGTACATGTTTGTCCTGGCTTTTCCAAGGCATCCAATGCCAATAATGTGAGTAATTGTTGTTTGTTCCTTGTTCAGTCAATGGCTGCCGGCTGACGGCTTTTTTGTTTCACACTAAGATACCACGTTGGATTCTGCAGCTTCCGGAACATCACCAGTTTTTGGCCTGATCTTGTCAGGGTTTTGACGTCTTCCCGGAAACGATTCTTTATTCACCACAAAGCTTGAATGAATAAATCCTGCACGGCTTCTACGATTCCTTGAGATCCTGCTTCGTTTTTTCCGTTCATCGCCACAATTCGATCTCGCCAGGTGTGATGGTGCCAGCGGGTTTAATCGACTCCTGGACGCCTACTTCACGGGTCATCGAACTCAGATTGCATCGCGCCGAAAATCGGAGGTGATGGTCGGAGTTGGAGATGTTAGAGGCTTTGGCTTAGATGGGATTGATTAGCATCAACTGCTGAAGCATATTAGCGACGGAAAACATATGGTAGTTTGGGAGGTCCAGCTAAGGTTAATGGTCAACCAATCACCATTGGGATGGGTTGTTCGAATGGATGCCTTTTTTTCAGACGAGTCCCGACCATCGCATTTTGTTGTCGCATCTCATCTTTTTCCCGTTGGCGTCAGTGACTCTCACGGTCTTTCGGTCGACTCCTTCACCGAATCGATCGACGCACGCGCCACACCTGGAAGCACCGCCGAGGTCTGGAGCACCGCCGAAAAGGGCACCATACCTGCTTCCAGGTGGCTTTTGGCGCTGAGTGGAGTCTGGATATGGATAGTGGTCTCGATATATGTTTGGATGCCGGTGGCAGGTTGGAGCTGTATGCGTGTGCATGCATGCATCAAGGGGGTCATGGGAGAATGTCCAGTTCTGAAGAGGAATTGGATCATGAAGTTCACTTGTTTACCACCACCCGATGGACCAGATGGAATAAATATGAATAAAGTAGATCCTTGATGGATCTTACTTCAGGACCTATTAGGTGTTACAGCGCAGTTCAAGAGGCTCCTGAGGGTGAAGTTCAGGGGCTTCAGTACCCGAGACCCGAGGCGTAGGGTCGGGCCAAACATTGTACGTTATTGCACCGGTCTAGATGTCCTAAGAACATCTAGGAATCCATGGTACATCCTGGTACATGAGCAATTGCATGGCAAATATCCGTTTGCCATGACAGCTAGGAGCCTGACAACTAACATAGCCGTTTGCCATGATTGATGGATAGAGGGACGGACGGACGGACGGACGGATGGATGCATGGCATGATGTAGCCAATGTAATTAACACATGTTCAAGCATGTTCAAGCAATCCATTTGTTTTCCTCGCCACTCGCAGAGCCACTCGGGCTCCAGTTCCTTTCCAAGTGGCAATTCCTGCGCCAGCTCACATGGGGTGCTCCAGCAGCTTGCAAACGGTGAGGAGCGATGCGTGGCTCGCAGAGATCCGGAGGGCCAAGGCGGCCGACTGTGGTTTCAGGTGTGGGCGAAAACGATATATCGTTCAGGGCTTTGTGCATACCTTGTTCACCCAGGCTTGCTTTTCCTGAAACATTCTATAACGATCAGTTCAAGGTCAACAGGAGAGAAGCTTGTCTCAACTTGATTGCTTCTGAATAGAGATATCAACATACAACTAGAGACAACTGTGACAGGCGTTGCACCTCTGTCATGTTTGTTGCCCTCTTTGCCCTAACTAGCCCTCCGATTTTCAGAGGTTGCAAAGGTTCAAATTAACGCCCCAACTACTACCAGCTTCTTGTTACTAGTAGCGATGGGCCTCCACCTAGTAATTAGCTTCTTGCTTCTATGTAGCAAACATCAATGTCAAATATTTTCTCGGTCGGGCCAACTATCTGACAACATTGCAGAGGCCTCCAAAGACAAAGATATCTTTCCGAGTTCGGTGTTGCGGGAATTCGGGGCAGAGTCCGAATGGTCCAAATTATTTTATAATGAACAAATTTGTAAATAACACCCTAGGATTCCAACCACCATCAACTCGATAGTCTTTATACAACAACCATTGGTTGACTAAGGCTTTACCCTACAACCTCAGGTCAACAATTTTTTCATGGTCTTGGAAGTCGTGGAACTATGTTTGGAGTCTCCTCATCAAAAAAACTGTTGGACGCATTTGATCCATGGGGGTTCAAGCAATGCATTGGCCAAGACCCTCGAGGCACTCCTTTGAGGATGTAGACAGAGGGTTTGGAAACCATCATATCGGCTCCACTTTCTTGAGTCCAATGTGATTAGCGTGAAAGGTTTGCTGGTTCTTTCTTTCTGAAACAAAGTGAGATGGTTATAGTCATAGTGATAGTTGTAGCAGATCCTTTCCTTACTGGTGAAGCCAGAAGTTTGCCCATTCCTCAAGTGGGTTGACGATTCCTCATGGATCCTCAGCTGGTCAACTGAGGCCTCCCTCACCAGGACCTCCCTCACCGGCCAGTGGCAGCACGTCAATTCGCCCAAGCATGCAGTCAGTGCAGTCAGGCGAGCTCCTGACACCCCGTGCCGTGATGACCTTATCGGATTGATCATTTGACTTTTTGAGGTTTAGTTCAGCAGGGGAGCGGTGGGCATTCTTGAAGTCACGACTCAACGAAGACATTTCAAGTTTGCTGTGATACGTAATCTGAACGCAGATTGCACGTACCTGCGAGAGGATGATTACCACGTGTTCCATTTTGGGCCCTGTTGTTACTGGAACAAGTCACTGCCCGTTGTATCGGTTTGAACTGAGCTGACACGTATTGCATTTTGGAGATTGAGAGTTGACTGGAACTTTATTGTTGGAACTTAGATCTTCACGAGGGTTGGACTGTAGTGCATGATGCTGTTTTACTCATCACGCATGTTTTTATGGGAGATGACCCATTTCGTACTTACGTACACTTTTTCTCATATGTGTGTGAGACATCCTGACACATCGCCCAAGTTCTTGGTTGCAATATCAGACGTTCATTCACCGGACTGTTTGTTTTTCTCACTTGTTGGGGGCTTTTAGAAGGTCCCTTAAGAACTTAAGAACAATCCATGTCATAGAGCGTATAGCAAGGTCTCCCTCTGCAGCTGTTGCTCAGGGGCTTGACCAAGTTTTGTGTCAACACACAAGTTAAGTGAGAATGGCACACATCTTTTGCCTTTCACCGGCGTGAAAAGCATATATCACCAGACTTCGCCCTCCGGCGGTGGGGCCCACGGCTGTTCTCATAGATATAGCAGATCTATCGATCCTTACAGCTCGGGTCCACTTGGGCCTTGGGTCCTCATGCAAAAGGATCCAACGCAACTCTCCTTGACAACCAAAGTTTGGCTGCCCCTTGATAGAGGTTGAATCAAGCTACACTCACAGGCCACCCCAAACCAACATAGAACGTTCGGGTCTCCTGAAAGTGACCGCCTAAAGAGGACTAATTTGTCAAATGACTCCTGATCTCCCTGGTTCTCACGGCTTCAACATAGGTCAATTTTTTGCTCTCTTCAGCTAAACACCCAAGAAAACCTCTTCCTTCGTCAGGCAACAGCCGCTGCAGTACTGCTTCCAGACGGGAGGTGGGGCTGGTGGACGCATGTGGACGCTCGACAAACGAAACTCCAACGGGAAGACACCCGAAGCAAAAACATCGAGTCGCTCGATCGAGTGAAACATGAAAGAAGGGACTCAAAGACTCAACGGAACCAAATTGAACTAAATGTCAAATGTTTGAGCACAAATCTCAAACGTCCCACAAAAGCGAACGTCAACATGTCCATGCGGGGTCGAAACCTGAAGCGACAGAGGTCTCTTTCAAGGAGCCCCGGGAGCTGAAAGACGAAGCCTCCGAACAAGGCGCCCTGGCGTGCCTGACGCGGGACGCTTCGCGGAGCATGGGAGGTGTCCGTCGTGGTCAGGTTTTTCTCCGCGGGTGGCGAGTTCTGCATGGAGTCCAGCTTGTTTGGCATGGGAGGGGCCCATACTAATGAAGTGCTTGGGGACCTTGAATGAAGGCCAATGGGGCGAAGATTTGGGAGAGAAGGCTGCTCGGTGTTTTGAGGTTGAGACATAACCACAATCAGGATGGTTCAGGAGCTAGAGACATGTCGATGTTTTCCATGTTTGAGGTGTGCGAGCGACCCGCCTGTGAACCGCCACACAACGAAACGGATGCACAGCAATGGCTTCAACATGTTTCAACTTTGATCGTGTGAAGCCTTGTGCGAGAAACCCTAGTAGGCCGACCCTTTTGTGAATGAGGGACCCATCGTTGCCTCCGTCAGCCATGCGCCTGTTTTTCCTCCGACATGGCATGGGCGACTTGGCCTCGAATCGTTCCTGCCCAGACCGGTTTTGGATCCCTGAACGCATGCAGTCCCGATCTCTTCGTCTTACGAGCCCCCTTGGTCGAGGCTTACGGATGCAAAAGTATCTTGAGCTCATCGAGGAACACCCGGAAATCCTTGAGAGGAAAGTGTATCGCAAGAGGCCCTGCTGTGGTTGTGCTGCGGTCAACGGCCTGATTGGAGTGGACCTTCTCGTGAGGTCTTTCGGGGTGTGTAGGATGTTTTAGGTTTCACGTTATTTCTCTCAATAGTTCTCTCAATGTATTGGATTGGGGAACCGGATTGGACAATTTGCACCCTAAACGTTTCATGTGTTGATGTTCAGAAGTGTTCAGAACTGGTTCATGACCATTTACTTTCGACTTCGCAATGTGCTCCGTGCTTTGCATGTCTTACTTCCTAAACATTGAACGAGTCGTTGGACGTTGGCATGTTTGCTGTCCCAACCACACTCACGATGCGTATTGAAATACGTTGGGAATGCGTTGCCGCAGAAACTGGATTGTGTTCAGATGTGATGCGCCGGAGCTGTAGCAACTGAGAAACGTGTTCTTTGGCAGAAGGCGCTTGCTGCACACAAGCTCGGGACTGCCCTAGCCGAACTCCATGAAACGACCGCTCTTTGTGAAGGAAAGTAGTCACTCTTCCAGTGGAGGCCATGTTCCACTTCTGTTTACTATTTCCGGTAGTGTATTGCCAATGTTTGGCTCCTGACATGTTTGGTAGCCTTGTCTCCACCACTGGGGGCTCCGGCTCGGTGGTTTTCTTCGGGCGTCCGCCAGGTCGAGGGACCTGAAAGCCACTTGCGTTACGTCTCTGTGACGAAGCCGGTCCGTGGAATCTGGTCTCTCGGCGGTGCAGACCGAAGGAACACCGGTGGTTGACAGTCAGGAGGAATTTTCCAGAAATGACCCTGGAGTTTTTGAGGGCAATTTGGTATGAAGGGTTCATCAGGTATTGCAACAGGTTGGATGTTGAGAATCGTTTCACTTTTGATGGACTGACTGACCACCAGATTGGTAGACTGGAAGTGGCTAAACGCTACTTGTTCCTGCAGCATGGAACAGAGTCCAGATAGGATTCTCATAGATTTGCACTTGAGTTGGCCTGACTGTTTCAAGCTACTCTTCGATCTGGGGTCATCATCCATCACTGACCACGTGAACCCTAGGCATACAAGCACATCTGAGGGAACTTCTCACTCACTCGCTGTAGACAATTGTCAAACCATTCACATCATTTCAAATGCCATTGAGGATTTTCACAGACTTACTTACTGTATATTTGTCGGGGACAGCAAGGCCGAACAATCGTGAAAGCTCGCAGACATCGTTTATACAATGTATTTGATTACCGCTAGCTTGAAGTAGCAGGTTGTTAGCTCTTTCCGCGTTTCTTTCAAAATTGAAAGGAACCAATTTCCCCTTCAGTGAAACGAGGACAACATAAGTTACTGGAACCGGTGCGTTTCTGCAGTAACAGTTGTTGTGCAGTTTGGGCCTCGAGCTGGTGATGATTTGTCTAATTAGTCTCGAGTCTTGAGACAAAGATTTATCAAGCCCATCAACAATCCTTCCCGGGAAGCCGAGAATAGTTTCCTTTAGAACTCGAGTGTCCTTCTGTTCACCCCTGAGATCCACAAACAGACTCCAGACCTCCTTAGCTTGAGCAACCCCAAGTCTGGAACGCTTCCAGAGCCTTGGTTTAGGGAGTACCTCATGCAGTTTGGGGACTCGAAGTCATAGCAGATCGTGGAATTCCGTAGATTTCCTCCAAGAGGTGTTGGGCTCTACAGTCACCAGTTCCCGGCCTGCAGCGCCACAGGCGTGAACAGTTTTGTGAGTCGCTTAGTGCGACGCAATCCCGCGCATGGCTCGAGAAGGCATGTCACGTGGCGCGGGATGATGCATGGGCAGTCAATCCAGTGACACGTGCCCTCATGGAGCAGGAGGAGAATTTGGTCGCTCCAAGGGGAGCGATGTTTCATGGTGTTCAGTGAAGTTTGTCCACAGCTCAAATCCACCACGGGATCATGTAGTCATTGAGTCATCCAAATGTTTTGTGATGTTTGTGTTTATAGAGCTCAAGGACTAGATTGGGATGGTCAATTCAATAGCTTTGTCGATGGTCATGCTGCGAAAGGGTTCACCTGTGTGCGCGAGTGTGAAGGGCTGACTCACAACTGAACATCCCATGCACATTCTTCCAGGAAAGAGATCTGAACCTCATGGTGGAAAATCAGAAGTGTAGAACCCCCAAAGACCCCCCCTACTTAGGGAGCGCAGGGTGTGGTAGATGTCCCCATTCTTTGTGGAAATCTGGGACCCTTTGGGCTCTACAGATTGGCTGGCCCTCCGCAAAGTGGGTTGTCCACATTAATATCATTCACAATCCAATCAACAGGTCTTGCTCAAGCAAGGTGTCAGTCGTACCCCAGTTGGGGTTTCAGCTGCACTATTGTCTTATTGTGTCTTACTGCAGCCTGAAAGATTGTGTCTTATTGTCTCCCCGCCTCTGTTATGACTAACCCCTTGACTTTTAAACGACACCGCGCTTCCTGTCACATGCGCGACTATCCTATCCGCATTCATGAACCCTAGGGGTATAGCATGCGTATGTCCCTTTAACTTTGGTTTGTGCTTTCCTCAGACTGCTCGGCTCGAACTATTTGTTATCTGTTTGGTTTCATGCCGTCCGCTAGCAGCGCTCGTGGCAGAAGTCCGGTGTGGCCAAAAGATTTCCGGAAGGCGCGCGATGATCTTGCCAACACTAACACCAAAGACCGCGTGGACCAACTGGAAAAATGGATCTTCACAGTGGGCGGTCTGACAACTCAAGATGTGGCCTTTCTCCGGTCCGAGCTCCAGCTCATTTCTTTGCCAGCGGGACCGCTTGTGTGGCACTTACTGAGGAACTCGCTTCTTTCAATGCCGGCAAGGCGGCCATCGCCAGCGGCTCAGCTGAGCGTGGTCCACCGCTCAAAGTTCGTATGTACAAGGCTCTCCTCAAATGTGTCGAGGACCAATCGGTTTTTTTTGGGCAACTCACGAGAGCATGCATGGCAGCCTCTCCAATGCAAGCCGACCACCACCAGAAGGCAAGCTGTACACCTTCGCAGCCTCAGAAAGCGGCCGCGCCTTACGTCGTGTATGGGGAGGGCCTGCGCTCGCCGGGCTATGGACCCGCCTCGGGGATGGGAGTTGGCCCGCTGTGGGAGTTAAAGCTGGTGTTCCCCGCCCCTCTCGCAAAGCGCCGCGGCCGCGGACGCTGCCTTATGGCTCCTGCATTTCTATTCGCAGTGCGTGCCGGTCTCGTCCAGGGCGGGGCTCTGGTCTCGTCCAGGCCCCTTTTTTCTTGCAGTGGCGTTCCGGTCTTGTCCGGGCCTCTGAGCAGGTTGCCTTTGCTTTCCTAGCGGGTGCTGTTTGGGTTGGTTGCTGTCTGGCTCCGCCGGCCAGGTGCTTGGCTGGGTTCTCGTGTGCCCCTTGGTGACCCCGTTTTCTCCTTTCTTCTTGGTTTTGGACTATTCCCTGCTTCTCTTCACATCGTTGGGCACTTCCTCCTGTGTGGCGCTGGGTGCTCTTTTGTCGTTCCCCCCCATGGCTTTAATGCTCTGCTGAAGTTTTGATTTCTAATTTTGGGTTCGCTTTTTCTCCCTCAATGTACAGGGGTTCCTTGTGTTGTTGCTTGGCCGGAACCCTGTGTTTCGTCTTGCCTCCGTGCTCTGCGCTGCCCTTGCCATGGATGCTCGTGTCACTGCGTTCGAGAGTCGCGTCGCGAACCTGTCTTCTCTGGCAACCTCCACCGCCAAGGGACAAGGTAGGGACAAGGTGCCTGCCAGTTGGTGGTGTTTTTGCCGTGGGAGTTCAAGGAACACTTGTCCACCCTCTGTGACGCTTGGGCGAATGGAGCGGAAGCTGCCACTGATGCTGCTCCCTCACAGCGGCCCTTACCCCTCAATTCAAGCACCCATTGTTCCAGGCGTTGGTCAGGCAGCTGGCTGCACAGAGTTTGATGGTGAGTGCCTTCAGGCCTTACAAGCAGTCAGCCGAGATGCCGTCGAGAGCTACTACCATGGCAACAGACCTAACGGGGACGCCACGTCGCTGTTTAACTTCTCGTTCTCTCCAGCGGCAGGTGTGCTGCAGCCTCGCGCCTTGCCAAAAGCGGGACGGAGAGTACCCCCGTTGTGGCGCGCGCCCTGCACGATATGCTCCACCCCCGGCCCTGCGACGGTTTTGGTGGATGAAGAAGGAGCTAAAGGTGGAGCCACGGGGACCAAGGGACCTCCTAAGAGGGCTGCAGAGAGTCGGGGCAGTGTCCGGGCGGCGGATGAGGATGAGGGATTCGATAAGGATGACGTGCGGGCCTGGTCCAAAGGCAAAGGAGGCGGCAAAGGACTTAATGGTGCTGGCAGAGGGTCCAAGGGTCCACCCAAACGGCCAGCCGAAAGCAGGGCCAGCATCTTGGCGGCGGCCGCTGAGGCGAGCCGTCCCAAGAAGCGCTGAGCGGTGTTCAGTCTGGTTAGTAAGTTTTCTGTGTCTAGGACCGCCCGCTGCGTGAGTGCCCACCCACCAGTACCGCCTGCTCCAGCACCGTCCGGGCAGTGACTGGTCCTTTTTAAGTTTTTGTTAATTGCTGCCGAATAAACTCTATAGAGTCTGAGAGCTTGAGCCACCTCAAAATGACCCTAAGATTTTATAGACAATTTTCTTTTAGATATTCCCCGGCCCAGTAACAGTGACCACAACTGGACAGCGCAAAACTAGAACCAGAAAATAAGCCCTGCAAGCCGCTTATCATGTGATCGAAAAAGCTTATACACTCTCAAGTGCTTTCCACCATTCATGTTTTCCTCCAGCAGCCTCCGTGCGCTGCCAATGCACCATCTTAGGTGTCTGATTTAGCATCGGAGTTTTCTGCAAAAATCCTCCCTCAAGGACGGCAAAAAGCAAAGGTGCAGGCTCCACGCGATTCAGCTACTTCTATCTATCTATCTATCTAACTGACTATCTATCTATCTGTCTATCTATCTATCTTTCTTTCTTTCATAGTTTTTTCTGTTTTCTTTCTTTCTGCCTTTCTTTCTTTCTTTCTTTCTCTCTCTCTATCTGTCTGTCTGTCTGTCTGTCTGTCTGTCTGTCTGTCTGTCTGTCT